TGCTAAGGAGATGACAAGGAAGCCAGGTAAGACAGCAATACAGTGGGAGAAAGACCTTGAAGGCATCGCAGAGTTCTTCCAGGCTGTCCCTCTCATCACAGGCTCAGAGTCCTAGGAAAAGTAGAGTAGTTTTGGGAGACAGGACCAGGGTGCCCTCCATGGTTTTACTGCTCAAAGCCGCCTAAAAACTCTGCTGCCTGCATTCTGGTGCAGTACTGCTCGGCCACTGCCTCTATGGCTCCAGCAGGTCCAAGTGAGGCTTGTGATGCAGCTCCAGAGCGTGCAAGCAGTAAGCTTTGGCAGCTTCCTTGCGGTGCTGACTCCGTAGACATGCAGAGTGTATGAGCTGTGGGGCCATGGTGGCCTCCACCTAGCTTTCAAAAAATGTATTGGGAAGCCTGGGTGCCCAGGCAGAAACCTACTGCAGGGTCACAGCTGCCACAGAGTCTCCATCAGAGCAATGCTGAGTGGACCTGTGGGACTAGGGCCACTTCTGAGACCCCAGAACTGTAGAGCCACCAGCTTACAGGGGTAGCCTGGGAGAGCTGCAGGCACAAAACTCCAACCCATGAGGGGTTGGTGAGGTTTACACGTTATTCAATGGCAGATGAGAGGACAATGATCTTTTCCCAATTATTGGCCTTTTGACAGGCTTTTCAAGTAAAAGCAGAGTCACAATCTTTTTAGAAATAGGAATTGTGATTAATTGAAGCTTTAAAAAAAGTTTCATCTACACACTTACACATTTGGTTCAATAAAAAGCCATTGTTCATGAGCACTAAAAGGCTGAAAGATATTCTCTTGGGATTATACATGCTCTTCTTCCCCCTTTTCCTACTGAACATGAATCACAGTATTTATTTATATATAAGCACAGTATAGTAATTAAAAATTATTTTATTTCTCCAAACTTAGAGATATAGTATATTCTACAGGTTAAAAATGTAAGGTCTGTTGTCTTATGATAGTCTCAAATCAAAAAAAAAAAAAAAAGTAAGGCCAAAACTATCACACACTTAATACATTTTACTCCTAGCTGTGCAAATCTGAGGGTTATCCAGGTCTACTGCTCTTTGTTCATTGTCTCTCAAAAAGTGTTTAGGTCAGACAGAGACTATCAACCTTGTTACTCTGCCTTTAATAAAAAGTTAGACAGGGAATGAAAATGGTATTTGGTCAAAGGAACTTCTATTTTCTTCTTCTCTTCTACCTTAAATTGACATAAATAGTTAGAGATTGTATCAAACAATTACTGATCATAAATTTAAGCTAAACATTTTGCTTTTATGTCAGTTCCCCCTAATTACAGGTACTAAAATATCTAAATAATGAAAATAATAACAAACCTCTTTAACTTTGCTCAATCTAAAATATAAGTTTTAATATGGAAATTAAAGGGAAAAACCTAATTACATGGATAACTTCTGGGTAGGAGTTATTTTTTAATATGTAACAATTTGTACAATAAAACTATATAAAACTAGATATATCTCTAAATAAACTAAAATACCATATATTTTATAATATATAATAGCCAATATATACAAGTGCTATTTAACAAGTATATAATATATAATTAGAATAAATTCATCCTAAAATTTGAATTGTTTATTTTTAGATATTACCAATGTGATTTGCCATTTTGATACAGTTGTCAATAAATCATGCTCATAATTCAACAATTTGAAATGGAGAGCCACATTAAACTATTCTAGTGACTTCCCCATTACATGGATAGTGGTATTATTTATATTGCTGAATCCTGTCTCAGTAAAACAATTACATTTTTTTCTAACTCATACAACACTGTCTGAGATTTTAAAATGATCAGTATCTCTATTCTTGAGCAAGGAATGAAAATCATTTATTGAAATGACATTTTGAATTCGATCAAACCTAATCTTTCATGCCAAAGGTAGCAAATAATACAGTCAATCGTAGACTCTGTTCCTGGGTTATGTGGATTTGAATCCTAGCTTTGCTATTGAGTCTTTATATATAATTTCTCTCAGAGCCTCAATATCCTGGGGAGAGGAAGATGATAATTCTATAATTCAGTGAGTTAATATAAATTTAGAATAGTGTTTAGAATGAAACAAATGCTATATAAGAATTCACACTCATTTTTATTCATAATGACCACGAGGGTTAAGCATTCAGTATGTTTAAAAAAACTTGTCCCAGTAAATGGAAGAAAAATTCAACAGAGTTGGTTAAGAGAGAAATCACGTTACAGGTATTCTGTTACCCCATTTTTCCTTCACAGGCCCCATGTGTCCCATTTGGTATTTCTTTTGTTCCAGAAGTACCTACCATTCTGATGGAGCTCAAAATACCCAACTGATGTCTCCCTGCTTTTCCCATCTCTCTCAAAGCCAAAGTCTTAGCAATTAAAGAGGATGTCCTGCTTACTGGGACTGGCAGGGTCCTAGAGGCCCTTATTGTACCAAGCATTAACCTTCTTTTTTCTGGATCATAGCAAAGTCAGACATTTCTGAAGACATGCTGTGACAGCTGGGGAGCACTCAGGGAACTCAAGGCAAACTTTTATCAATAAGCACAAAAGTATTTCAACCTTTTTTTTTTTTTTTAAGAGATTAGGTGTCATTATGTTGCCCAAGCTGGTCCCAAACTCCTGGCCTCAAGCAATCCTATCACCTTAACTTCTCAAGTAGCCGACATTACAGGTGTGAACCACCATGCCTGGCTCAAAACCAATTTTTAATCATCAATAGAGTTGTATTGGTACACGTATGTGACTATCAGCCCTGCTTTACAGGATCAAAGGAATGGCGCTAAGGTCCAACTTTGTACTATATTATGGCTAACTTAAACCTGTCTTATACCAGTTTTATAACTGTGTGGTTGTAAACTGCTGGCTCCAACCATAAAAGCAAATTATAGGGATACATAACCAGAAACTCATAGAAGCACAAAAAGAAAAAGTTGGGGAGCCTCCAAACTTACAGTAAATTAGTAATTAGTAACATAACTTTGTATAATAACTATATATGCTATAGTCACATACCAAATGGTAGAAGGGAAAAAATTCTTCAAGCCATTTTATTATTTCTGGAATGTAAAAGAATCCAAATCTGTCCTTACAATTTTACTCACCTGCTACTTTTTCATCTGTTTCCCTGTTACCATCATCTGAATATCTTGCAAAGTCTAAAGAATCAAGGGTACTAATGCTCCCAGCTCGATCTATAATAAAGAGAAATATAAAAGAATAAGCATTTTAATTTAATTGTTAAAATAAGTAATGGGAATTCAAATACCTATGATTATTTCTAGTAAATAAAACTGTAATTCTAAAATCTAGGAAACCTTTTAAAACAACAACAACAACCAAAGTAAAAATGTGCATAGCAATCATGATACTTTAAAATAATTAAGTTTCCCTGCCCCCAAACAATGCACATACAGGGTATATTATAAGCAGCCCAGCTAAGGAGAAAACAAACAAACAATACAGAAATTTAAGCTGCCACCTAAGAAAGTTTGCAGATTGAGTCTGAACAAGGGCCTACTGAAAGAACAGAATACAGTCTTCACAGCCTAACACACGCATTATCCATTACACAGTCAAAGCTTAGTTGTTACACAAAAACCAGCAAAATGTGATCCACTCCAAGAAACAACAAAATCAACTGGGACCAACTCCTAGCTGATGCTAGGAGATAACGGTAAAGTCAGTAGACTAAGATTTTTAATAGCTATTATAACTATGCTCAGTGAAGTAAAGGAATATATGTGTACAATAAATGAAAGGAGATAATATCTTAGCAAAAATATGGAATGTAAAAAATGCCAGTAGGAATTCTAGAACTGAAATAGAAGAATCTGAAATTTAAAATATCCTGTATAGCCTAATGATAGAATGGAGATGAAAGGGAAAAGGTTCAGGAATCTCAAAGATAGATTAATGGAAATTATTCAATCTGAAGAACATTGACAAAAAAGATTGAAAAGAAAATTAACAGAGCTGTAGGGACATGTGGAACAATAACAAAGGTCTAACATATGCAGAATTGGAGTCAACAACAGATCAGGCAAGAGATGGAGTAGATACAGATTTGAGGTCAGAGAACATCAAGGAGAACAAATAAAGAGAAGAGAAACTTTGGCACCTATTAATCAAATAGTGAAAAACCAAAAAATTAGAGAAAATATTAAAAGCAGACAGAGAAAAATAATATACTCATATAGGGAAACAATGATTTGAATGACTGCTGATTCCTCATATAAGAATACATCTAACAAAAACATGCAAAACTTATACGACATGCTGGGTGTGGGGGCTCATGCCTGTAGTCCTACCACTTTGGGAGGCTGAGGCAGGCGGAGCACCTGAGGCCAGGAGTTCAAGACCAGCCTGGATAACATGGTGAAACCCCGCCTCTGCTAAAATACAAAAATTAGCTGGGCATGATGATGGGTTCCTGTAATCCCAGCTAGTCAGGACACTGAGACGGGAGAATTGCTTGAACCCGGAAAACGGAGGTTGTAATAAGCTGAGATTGTGCCACTGCACTCCAGCAGTCTTGGACTCTGTCTCAAAACAAAAACAAAAACAAAAAACTATAAAACATTGTTCAAAGAAATTAAAGATGATCTAAATCAACAGAAAGCCCAGGCTTACAGATTAGAAGATCCATATCAGGATAGCAATATTCCACAATTAATCTTCAGATTTAATGCAATTCCTATCAAAATTGTAGCTGGCTTTCATTTTTCACAAAAATTGAGAACTTGATACTAAAACTCATAAGAAAATGAAAAAGTCTCAGAATAGCCAAACAATCTTGAAAAGGAATAAAGATGGAGGACTCAGGCTTCTGGATTTCAAACTTAAGAGTAATCAAGGTAGCACAGTTCTGGCATATGGATATATATCAATGCAATAGAATTGAGAGTCCAGAAATAAGCCCTTACATTAATGGTCAATTGGTTTTTGACAATAGTACCAAGACACTTCACTGGAGAAAAGTTTTTTCAACAAATTGTGCTGTGACAACTGTATATCTACATGCAAAAAAAGGAAACTGGACCACTACTTTACATCATAAGCAAAAATGGATCATAAACCAATTTAACAGTAAAAACTTTTAGTAGAAAACTTTTAGTAGGAAATGCAGAAGAAAATCATCATGGCCTTGGATTAGGCAATAATTTCTTAGATATAACACAAAGCATAAGCAATGTGATATGCAGTAAAATGGCCCTCACAGATGTCCACATCCTAATCCTTAGATTGTGTGAATATGTTACCTTACATGGCAAAGGAGAAGTGAGGTTAAAATAGATTATTCTGGGTTATTCAGATGGACCCAATGGAATCACAAAGATCTTTAAAAGCGGAGAAGGGCCATAAGTCAAGGAATTCTGGCAGCCTTTAGGACCTGGAAAAGTCTCCCCGCTGGAGGCTAAAACCTCCAGAACTGCCAGTTATCTTGATTTTAGACCATTCAGCTCAACATGAGACCCGCTGTGAGATTTCTACTATACAGCCATAAAAAAGAACAAGATCATGTCTTTTGTGGGGATAGCTGGAGGCCATTATCCTTAGCAAACTAATGTAGGAAGGAAGAGAAAACCAAATACCACGCGTTCTCATTTATAAGAGGGAGCTAAATGAATAAAACACATGGACACAAAGAAAGGAACAACAGACACTGGGACCAACTTAAGGGTAGCAGGTGGGATGAGGGGGAGGAGAAAAAAAAACAAACTACGGGGTACTAGATTTAGTACCTGAGTAATCTGTACACAAGTTTACCTATATAACAAACCTGCACATGTACCCCTGAACCTACAATAAAAATTAGAAAAAAGAAAAAAAGAACCATGAGGCAATAACTTTGTGTTCTTTTGCACTACAACGTTTTTGTCAACCTTTTTTTTTTATTATTATACTGTAAGTTCTGGGATAAATGCACAGGTTTGTTACATAGGTATACACATGCCATGGTGGTTTGCTACACCCATCAACCCCTAATCAACATTGAGTATTTTTCCTAATGCTATCCCTCCCTTAGCCCCCACCCTCAGACAGGCCCTGGTGTGTGAGGTTCCCCTCTTCTTGTGTCCATGTGTTCTCATTGTTCAACTCCGACTTATGAGTTAGAACATGCAGTGTTTGGTTTTCTATTCCTGTGTTAGTTTGCTGAGAATGATGGTTTCCAGCTTCATTCATGTCCCCGCAAAGGACATGAACTCATTCTTTTTTAGGGCTGCTTTTTGTCGACTTTTTACAGCAGCCATAGGAAACTAATACCCGTGATAAAGGAATGAATTGATAAACTAGATTTCATCAGAATTAAAATATTTTTTTGCTTTAAAAGTCACTATGAAGAAAGTGAAAACACAATCTACAGAATGGGAGAAATATGTATAAATCAAGTATCTGATAAGGGGTATATCTACATGATATAAAGAATTCTTATACTCAATTGAAAAAGACAGCACAATTTTAAAATGGACAAAGTGTTCTCCAAAGAAGATACAGAAATGGCCAATGAATGAAGGAAAGATGCTCAAAAGGGAAATGATACTCACTAGGGAAGTGAAAATCAAACCACAATGAGGTACACTTCAAATCAACTAGATGGTTATAATAAAAAAGATGGTAAGTTGCAGAGGATGTGGAGAAATTGAAACCCTCATACATCACTGGTCTTAATGTAAAGTGGTACAGCTGCTTTGGAAGTTTGGCAGTTCCTTCTTGAAAACATTATACTACGTAAAAGAAGCTAGACACATAAGGCTACATGGCCATATATTGTATGATCATTTATATAAAATGTCCGGAATTGGCAAATCCATAGAAACACAAAGAGAATTTCAGCTGGCAGCACAGGAGAATGGGTAGTGACTGCTAATAGGTACAGGGTTTCTTTGGGGTGATGAGAATGTTCTAGAATCAGAGTGGTGATAGTTGTACAATTTTGTAAATGCACAGAGAACCATCAAATTGTACACTTTAAAAGGGTTAATTTATGGTACATGAGTTAATTTTCACTTTAATAAAAAGACTTTGGAGACAATGTGGAGAAATTGGAATCCTCACATCTAGCCGGTGGGAATGGTATGGCCATTTCGGAAAACAGTTTGGCAGTTTCCTAAAAGGTTACAGAGTTATCTACCATAGGACCCAGTAATTCTACTGCCACCTAAGAGAAAGGACAATATATGTCCACACAAAATCCTGTACATAATTATTCACAGCAGCATTATTCACAATGGCAAAAAAAGTGGAAACAACCAAATATCTGTCCATTGATAAATGGAGAAATAAAATGTGGCATATATCTGTACAATAGAATGTTATTGAGTAGTAAAAAGGACTGAACTATTGAAACATGCTACAACAACGGATGAACTCTGCAAACATTATGCTGACAGAAGACAGTTACCAAAGAACCACATATTGTATTATCTCCACCTATAAAAACTGCACAGAATAGGCAAATATATAATGATAGAAAGTCTATCTCTATAGACACAGAAATTAGTGGTTGAGGGTTGAGGGAGAAAATGGAGTGTGTACTAATGAATAAGGGATTTGTTTTGGGGTTTATGAACAGGCTGCAAAAGTAGATTAGGTGATGGTTGTAGAGTTCTGTAAATATACTAATAATGAATGTAAATATATTAAAAACCAATGAATTGTACACTTTAAATGAGGCCCAGACAGGAGGATCACTTGAACCCATGAGTTCAAGACCAGGCTGGTGGGCAACAGAGCAAGACCCTGTCTCTACAAAAGAATAAAGGCAGAGGAAGGAACAAACAAGTTTACTGAGTTTTCAAAGTGTTCACAAGTTGTGTATGAATAGCAGTTATAATGTACAGAAGCTGCCGGGGGCAGGCAAGTCATGGCAGCTGAGGCTAAGTAGGCTGTAAAGTAGCAGGAAGGACGTTTTATCTGCTTCTCTATTAAATTTTACACACAAAAAATTTTCTTATCTAGCTAATGTTTAAAAAGGGATAAATAGGCTATTGTCAACCCGTTTGTTAAATCATGTTACTTACACAGTAAAGTTTACATATTAATCTAAAGTAACAGATTATTTGTGTTCAGAAAGCACGACTTCAACAAATGAATGCAAGTTATAAGAATACAGATTTGGACTCCACCTTGGGCTCTCCCATGACCTTTTAAAACAGTACATAACAATTTTCAAGATGGTTGACTCCTCAAATAGTGTTCTGTCATTATCAATGTACCACTTGCCTTTAAATCCCTATTAAGTGAACTAAAAGAAATTCTATATATATCATTCTTCTTAAACACTGTTTCTATCTGGAGAAACATTTAATTTTCCCGCAGTTTAATTATATCTGATCAGTAATAGCTTGTAGGTTCTCCTTTACAGGCTGGCCAACATGGTGAAACCCCATCTCTACTAAAAATACAAAAATTAGCCAGGTGTGGTAGCAGGTACCTGTAATCTCAGTTACTCGGGAGGCAGAGGTTGTAGTGACTTGAGATTGTGTCACTGCACTCCAGCCTGGGCAACAGAAGGAATCTCCATCTCAAAAAACAAACACAGACAATCAAAACAAACAAAAAAAAACTTTCTATCTATCAACTTAAGTTTTTGTTTGTTTTGGAGACAGGGTCTCCCTCTGTTGCTCAGCCTAGAATACAGTGATACAATCATGGCTCACTGCAGCCTTGACTTCCTGGGTTCAAGCGATCCTCCCACCTTAGCCTCCCAATTAGCTGGGACTACGAACCACCATGCCTGGTTAATTTTTTAAAAAAATTTATAGAGACAGGGTCTCACCATCTTGCCCTGTCTGATCTCAAACTCCTGGGTTCAAGCAATTCTCCTGCCTTGGCCTCCCAAAGTGCTGGGATTAAAGGCAAGAGCCACCATACCCACCACAATTTAAGTTTTAAGACAACATAAACAAAAATAATAATGACAGAAAGCCAGATATTATAGTATTCCACCTTATAACCTAGCTTCTTTCAGCACAAACTAAGAAATACTAAATACAGTAACCACAGGCATCTTAAAAAGTTAATATCGAAAATGTGCTGAACTCAGGAATACTATTCAGCAATTTAAAAATAAAGCAAAAAACTGACATATGCAATAATATGAGGGAATCTCAGATGCTTTATGTTGAAAGAAGCCTTATAGGAGTACCTACAATATTTCATTTATAGAAGTTTTTAGAACAGGCAATAGTAATTTATGATAGGAAAAAAATCCTAATAGTGTTCTTGTGGTAAAGGGCTAGAAGGCGTAGGAGCTGACTGGAAAAGGCCTTGAGGGAACTTTCTGGGGTGACGGTAATATTCTATATATAGTAGGAGTTTGGGTTACTATAGGTAAATTCTTTGTTCAAATTTATGAAATGGCACAGATTTACATATCTTACTGTCTTTAAATATTACCTCAAAACCTCCAAATTTTAGAATATTGAGCTCTAATTAATGATATACACGCTAAAGTATTAAGTATACTGATATGTGCAACTTAATTTGAAATGCATAAAAGATAAGATGGACTGTTGAAGGAGAGATGGCTGAAAAGATGTATTGATATGAGATAAAGCAAGTATGGTTAACTGGAATTTTAGGTGGCAGATGTATGGGTATAAAGTTCTTTCAACTTGTCTGTACACTTTGAACTTTTAATAATAAAATGTTAAAGAAATAAAACTTGGATATATGGGGTTAAAATAAGCTAACACTGAGCAGGATCCATTAATAATCAAAGTTGAATCCCGGAAAATAGCTATTTTTATTGTCTTAAATAAACAAAAATTTTGTGTTTTTCTCCTGCTGTTTGAAATTGAACCAAAGCTAGACCATGAATCACTAAAAGAAAGAAAACAAATTTCAAAATATTGTGGATAAACTTTATATGGCTTTTTACTAATAGACCTTTTAAATAAATGAAAATATAAAATGCTAAACTGGAATAAACCACTGGGTTATAAGTGCATCTGCCTTGGTAAATAACTAACATGACATATTATAAAATGGAGGG